ATCAGGGGCCTTGGCGGGGGGAGGGTAGGCGCGGGGGGGGCCAGGCACTGTGGTGATTGGGGGCTGGAGAAGCAGGCGGGTCCCATGGGGGTCTCCCCCATAGTCCCCTCCAGCCCCCCTGACCCCTTACTCACTGGCTCTGGAGCCTTGGTGCTGAAGCACGCTGCTTCAGCACTAGGGTGAGGGGCCAACCATGGAGACACTCTGGCAGCCAGAGCATCTCCCCGGAGGGCCCAGCCTCTGATTTCCACTTTTTTAAACTTCATCTTTTTTAGACCCCTGGATATCCAGGGGTCTAATTTTCCCTCCGCGCTCAAAGTTTGCTGCACAGGGAACATTTTTTGTTCCCACACATGCTTCTTGCCCTACCTCAAAGGGGTTTGAGACAGGGCAAGAGGCATGTGCACACTTGTCTGGACACGGCCCATGTGTGGCACACAGTGGACAGGGCAGGGCACAGGCAGCACAGTGACAAATAGGGCAGGGAGCAGAAAATAGAGCAGCAGATTGGGCAAGGAGTGCTGGACAGGAAGAAAAAAGCAGAGCAGCCAATTAGACAGGAAAAAGGGATCATAGTGGCACTCAGGGATGATGCAGAGCTAATTTGCGGCATGCCTGGCAAAAAGGTTGGCCCCCACTTCTCTAAAATATACTCAGACCAACCCAAAACATGTTGAAGCCAGTGGAAAAACTCCCATTCTTATACATTTTGCATAAGGCCTACAAGAATCATACTATGGGCTACCTATACCTTAGCTTAGGTAAAGACTGATTTGTCATCATCCAAAACTTTGGAGTCTGGGCAGCATAGAAAGCTGTATGCTGAGCTTTGTGGACTCGCATTGTGACTTGCATACTTCTTTGGGTTTACAATTAAGCAAAAAAACAAAGGTTTTAGGGGGGTTTTAATGTTATGAATTATTGCACATTTGGTTTCATAAATTGAAAAATGCTTAAGAAATAATTTCTGTTTAAACCACTTAGCATTTTTTTCACTCTTCAGTGCCACCCCAGCGGATGCCTTATTGATCTCTGTATGCAAATGGGTATTATAATGGTGCTAAAGCAGACTTGGAATAATTTCATGGAACTTGGCTACCCGTAAGTAAATAGATTGCATGACTTACATAGATCACAGAAGACTACTATGTCCATGACTGCCTTCTGATTTTGTTAAGTGGAAGAAGACTACAAGAGTAATTACAGCATAAAATCTAAATACCTCAAAAAGTCCTTCAGAGATCTTTCCATATATCTGGTGATATTCTGTGGTATTTGCATGTGACATAAACTATATACAGGAAAAATAATTTTAATATTAGAATATTCATAATAAAATATGAAGATAGGTTTTATTTCCTGACTCTGTAGTATTTTTTAGTTTAAAACCTATTTTAAAAAAAGAAATCTGTTCCTGTTTGATTGCTCTATTCCCTACACAGGAAATTTTAACTACATAATTTTTAACCTATCAGAATAGGTTCTAATTAGACTTGTCCTTGATGGGTGCTACAGGAAGCCTGAAAGGAGAGGTGAACACTGGAAAATGTGCACTGTTGACACATAAAGCCATCAAAAATGTGCAAGTAGACAAATTTACTGATCCGTATATGGCTGAATTTATTGACACTATGTATAGCAACACTAGGCCATGTCCTAACTAAAAAGGAGGACTGTTATTCTTATAGATTAATATTTAATGAGCATGATCAATACTGGCAAACAACAATGGAGTACAGGCAAGTACAGCCATGGGCAGATGGGGGTAGGAATTAGCAAGCATAGAAATGACAGGGTGGGAGTCAACAGTGCTAGTATTTTTGCCCTTGCAAAGTATCAGCGATTGGATGAATTGCCTTGCTGCAGTACTCACAGCAGAACTAGTGCAGTGTAATGGAGATTTTAGTCCCTTGGGCTGCCAAGAACATGTTGAAGCAGCTCTTTTAAGCAGCCTTAGTGCTTAACTGCATAGATCTTTGGGTGAATGATCTAAAGGGCACTACATCCTTGGCAAGAAAGATATTTATTGTTCTCTACTTTTCCTCTATCCCTGTTTTCTGTCCCACACAACTTGCTGTGACACTGTGCCAGACAGCCAAATTCAGATGCAGCCTGAGGGATTAGAGAAAAACAGTAGCAAGTGTTGGTTCTGTTTTTGCTTCCTGCTTCTTTATCAGTTTTAGTTAAAACTTTCTGCTATCCACTATTGAGCCTCTGGAAACTAATGAAAAGTGCAGTTAACAGAAATTCAGGGAGGCTAGAGAGGAGGAGGTGGAAAGTGATCATTTAAGGACATCAGATTTAATAGAAATAAGGCCTGCTTACAATAAATTTGGTCCCTCCACTTGAAGGTAAGAAAAGCCCCAAATGAAAGTAGCATAAGGAGCCTGCCAAAGCTGGCACCTATTCTAGGGACGAAGAAGTTTGGTCTCTAATACCATTGCTTCTTCCCTTTAACCCCAGGACTCCTCTGTGCAGATATGAATCTCCCCCCTTTCTACCAAGAAGTCTAGCTGCTAAAAGTTATTTAATTTTCTAGTTCAGGGGTTGTCAACCAGAGGTACACATACCACCGGCAGTATTTGAGCAGGCAGTAGCAGGTACACACAGGCATCTGCCACGTGTGAGTTTCCCCTGCCCCACGGGGAGCCTGGCCAAATGTGGGGGGGTGTGGGAAGCTTGCACATGGCAGTGCCACCACTCTGCATCCAGCCACGAGCCCCCCTCCCCGCCTAGCCATGCGCCACCTCCCAACTCGGCATCTGGCCCAGCACCACCTCCCAACTCGGCATCTGGCCATGCGCACCCCCCCACTTGGTGTCTGGATGCACACCATGCCCCCCCCACCCACT